CAAAACAATCATTGCAATTAGAATAAAGAATCTGGAAAGATACTCTCATTAGCGTTTACAAATTGTTGGAAATACCCGTAAAAAAAAGAAATTCGTTTGAAACAGCGTTCCAAAGCACATTTTTTTGTTATATTACATTTACGTGATCTAGTGACAGAGTGTTTGATACTATTCAAATCCATGAAAGTTATCGTGATTGAATGAAACTTGTATAACAAACTAAACAAACTTATTTTACTATTCCTAGAAGTATGAGACACTGAACCTCATCTATTTTATTTCCTTATCTATTTTTTCGACCTCTAATTGTTGAAATTATAATGTCATACTACAATGCAGTTCAATCGAGACTAGACAACGTTGTTTTATTAAATATATTCATTGGATAAAATTTTCAAAGATGTCTTACTTTTTTTATGTTGATTAATTAAAAGACTATATGGGTGAATCTCAACTTTGTATAAATTTTATCTAAAGAAGTGTACGTCTAACAGTATAGCTACAGTGACACGAGTATAAGCATATGAGTGTCGAAATTTAGTAATAAGAAGAAAGTATTCTCGAACTGATTGTTTGCGTTTTTTAATGAAAAAAACGCCCGTTCAAACACATTTTACAAAATGCACGTAAACTCTACCAAAAACATGCGGCTTAGAATACGAAGGCATTCAAACGAAATTTTTGCAACTTTTTTCCCGTGAGTAAATACGAAACAATTGGTAAAACTTATCTTGTTGTTACCTGAGCCAGATAAATGTGATATGTCCATAATATCGTTGAGGCTTTCGTAAAGAGATTTATTCAAAATCGCATAGAGTAACACTACATCTCATTTAAATCTAGATTTCGCTCTGATTTCTAGTCTTGATTCTGGTAGTCAGTCAAAAGAAATTAGTTCCAGTTTCGGTAAGCCTGTGTCCGACAAGTAATTTAAACACCTGTTGAAGAAGATTTCTATAAATAAAAAACTCTCGAATTTCATCGATATAATTGATTTCCGACACTTTTTCAAAAATTTAAGATTAGAAAAACAAAGAACTTGTTGATTATGATGAAAAAAAAAATAAAAGAAATTGATAAATAACATTATAACAATATGAATTTGTTCCATCAAAATGAATATATTTTATATAAGAAAGAAGAGACGGAGAATTACAAATTAATGATTGTAAGATTAATGCAAACTTCTTTTAAGATAAATCTGACGGATTAAAAATATTTCCAAATTTATCTAGTGAAAATGTTGAACAAAATAATACAATTAATACATCTATTTAATGATCAAAATGATATTAAGATTTTATCTCATGATAAATAGAAAAATATATTAGGCAATCAACTCTATTAAATTAATGTAAAAGTGTTTTTTGTAGAACTTTCATATATGTTTTCGAAGAATATAATGTGTGCAAATTTTAAATCGAATGTTTTCGACTCCTCTTTTCATTATAGATCTTAGCAAATATTCTATCTTATGTGGTATATATGAGTTCCATATTTTTTAATTTTGTCAAACACGATCTAAAAGGACTGTTGAAGTTATCGAGTTGCAGATGTACATTTTCGTGGACTCGAAGAACAAAAAACTGAATCTGGACTCTATTAGCTTCAGGCTTCGACTCGAGCAGATCCTAACTCAAATTTTATTCCAGCAATATCCATACACTTGAATCTTGTTGCCCCACTTCTCATCTAAGAACTGAGCTTAGTATGATAATTGCCCTTTACTTTTCCTTCATACTCATTGCACTAGATTGGAAGTGATATATTTCATGATCGACATTTATTTACAATAGGTACGGATTCATAAATTGAAACATATACTGATTATTTTATTTTTTATACCACATCACAGTTTCGTTTTATTGATATTCTTTTTAAGAAAAACGAATTGAAATGTAATAATTCTTATTGAATTAATAATATACATGAAAGATTGATAATTACACTAATGATTCCTACTGATATTTATTTATAAATAGATAAGCTAGAGATCACAACGAAACAAGAAATTAGAATAAAAGCTCAATTCAAGGCTAAATTTTTCATAGCACAAAATAGAACTGTAAATGATCGATAAGTTTCTAACTAGTGTCAAAAAAATCGTTTATGCATTGATTGTCCTTTTGAGATTCAATTTGTGAGAAGTCTTCAGGAAGATATATCATGTTATACTCATTTACATGCATCAAGTTCTTCAAAGATGGAGAAATCATCTTCAAGTACAACTAGAAGAAATATTTGTAAACGAAATTTTGATCGGATCGGGTAAGTCTATACCATGAAAAAGTTGTCCATTTTGAAGCCTGTTTCCAGTATCGCAATTTTTACATCTATTTCTAGCGTATAGCCTGCTGCCATATCGGTATCGAATTAGACTGATCAGAACTGTTGTTCAAAGTCTATCACTATTATGACTGTGAGATATAAAAAAAAACAATGTTTTTCCTCAGACTAGTCACCACAGAGACTTTTATTTCTAGAAATAAACAATATATACGACTGCTTTTCATGTATCTTATTTTCAATTGTCTTGTTTTTCAAAAATTCCAAATTTCCTATCATACCATGACTTAGATAACCGACTGACAAGTAAATGTTTAGTGTCTGTGCTGATAAAATCTCTCACTCTCATAATCAGACTTATACAATCATGGATAATATTCGTATCCAAAAATGTAATCGCCATTGTGATGCGAAGCGAAAAATTTCTAGGGCGTGGGTGTGGCTTTAGATCAGAAGAAAAGGAGAACAATAACTTTCTTAATTTTCACAATGCTTTCTTCGCATTCATTTATATGCTTTTTAACAAAAAGAAAAGCTCCTTTCTTCACGAATGATACTAATATATTATTCAACGTATCTAAATAATTTACTTTATGGTGAAGATTGATATTGAAATATTTGTAGATTTTTTTTCTAAAAAACCAATAACAAGATTAAATTGATATTCTAATTTGTGAGTTAGTTGTAAATGAAGATTAAAGAAAGAAAAGTTTTTGCCTAGTTGTTTATAAGCTGTCGGATGTTCATCCGACCTGAATTGACACCTTTTTTTGTCTTTTTTTTTCTGTCATCGTTGAGGAAAATGATGATGTTTTCGACAAGTTTATTTTCAATCGGAAAAGAGATTTAGTTTTGACGAAGCGGAAAAAATAAAATATATTAAGTAAAAAACGGCAAGACAACTAGATGTTTTTTTTTCAAAATAAAAAAAACCAACTCGAATAATAACTATTTTCTTTCGTTTATTTTTAGTAGATCATTTGAACAAAAACCTTCTATTTAAGAAAAAGTTTTTTTAAAAAAATCCGAATATTTCTTCCTGCCAATAATTGATTTATCATTATTATCATTCGATGATGAATCAATTTGATCTTATCCATCTATTGTTGCATTTCCATATTCTTGAATGATTTTACCATCTTGTTTGCACTGTTGTATGATGTTTATCTCCACATATTTTACTCATTGTTTCAGTTTTGTTATTTTCATTTTGATTTGATGATTATTGAATTTGTTTTTCAATAACGCATCTTCTCGATGGTGTTATTTCTCGTTTCATTGTTGTTATTATAAAAGTTTTTGGAAATGCTTCATTAAGATCATGTTTTTCTATAGTAGAATCAAGATTTTCATCGCCATGATGATTATCGACAAAAGATATTAATTTAAGAAAATTCGTTTTTAGAATAGGTTTTTATTTTTTTGTTACTTTGAAACTCTGTAGTTGCGAAACTGGAGAAAAGTCAATCGAAATCAACGAAGATTTTTTCAATTGGGGAAAATAAACCATTGAATAGAAAATCATCATCATTATTATCTTCCATTTTAGTTTTTAGAATGGAAATTTATTTCTCAATGTTCATTTTTATTTTTATTTCAATATGAAGAAATTTATAAAACAAAAAGGATATCGTTAGATATTTAATTATCTCTTAGTCTTCTTAATGACTTCATTATATTGTTAAACGTGATCAAGAAAAGGCTAGCAGTATGAATATTGAATAGATGCGTGTAGGTTGCACTTGAATGGGTCAATCGAGATACTGCAAAGGTAGAATATCAAATGAAATCATGTCGATAAAATTTCTCAAACAATTATAAAGTACTCAGTTGCATTGATGTCGTTTTATAAATCGAGATTATTTATTCTTGTATATTATCATAGAATTTCAATATCTACTGAAGTGAACTTAGTTCAAACAAATGTATTAACTCTATATTCTCGTTTTAGAAACGGATTTCTTTATCTTGAAATAAAAGAAAAACGTTCTAATGATAAGTTACTTTTTCAAAATGATAAATATATGCATTAAAAGTTAATAATAATGATAATAGAATTAGAATTCCAATTTCAGTTGCATTTGTAACACGACATAATTGTCCTTGAAATTCCGGTAAATGTGCTGCACCGAATAATGGATTTTCACTAAACAAGAAATAAAAATTACTTTAAATTAAATTCGGTTTCATTTGTAAATTTCATACCGATAAATGTGGTACATAGGATGCTGCACAAATATTAAATGGATTATATTCATCATAATTTAATGGATGTACAGCAATTGGATTTTTTTTACGAACACTTAATATTTTCCGTGTCTAAACAGAATAATACAAAAAAAATAAGTTTTTATTCTTTTTTGTTCGTCTTCTAAAATAATTCAATCAAAATTATGTTTTATTTAACAAAGAATAAACTCAATTGTTCCAAATAAATCAAAAAAACATGAACAACTTCGATCAACAGATATGACATATATTTGAGTGCATTACAGATAGCTATATTTTTATAAAGATTTCTTTACTAGTAGACCTGAGAAATTAATTCACAATGCTTGATTAAGTGCAAATTTTAATGTCATGATTTTATGTATTAGTTGTAATTGTAAATGAGTAAAATCAGCAGCTAATTTACATGCATGTTTTTCATTATCTTTTCCTAAGTCTTTTTTCCCATTGACATTTGTAAATCAACAATATTTTCTTTATATATTTCAATTCATTGTTGATCTTGAAATTTTCCATTTTTTGTTAAAACGATAAGCGATTTGACAACGTCCAACTAATTTTTCTGATTTAAATCCAACTGCTAGATAAAATAATTTTGGTAAACGTGCATCACGCCTTAATAATTAAAATAAAAATTTAAAAATATTTATTAAATAAACCAATAATTTATATATTTGAATAAAAACATACAAGATCAGGTGGTAATTCAATTTCAGTATCACCCCAACCTTTATCGTGTTCATCTTGATTATTATTAAGATTTTTTCTATTAAGATCATCTTCATCACCTTCAATTTGTACTTCGTCATAAACCCAATCTCAACCACTTGTTGCTGTTTCATCAATGTGAAGACTGACAGCAAATTTTTCTGTTATGTTTTTGATATTAAACCTGCTTTGATTCTTGTTGATTTATTGGACATGGTGGTAAAATTAATTCAGCATTTAGATTTATTTCAGATAACTAAAATAAATAAATATTTTATTTTGAATTACTGAATTTAACATGAGATAAATATTGATTAAATGTATGTCTATCTTATTATTTCATATCTAACATATCAATTAAACAAAGAACAAGTAATAATAATTTTGTTGAAGTACCTCAGTCTATCGGCTTATTTCTTTTTTGAAATAGAGTATGAAAATTCTTCTTACTTTTTTAAAATCTACATTCTAATGAATATCAATCAGAGAAAATAAACTAAATTAACTATGATATGGTGATTATTTGAAATGTCTTTCAAAAAAAAACACGTTATCATTCAATGTCGCAATAAACTTCGAGAATCATCATAAACTTCTTTATACAACAGTACAGAAAATTCTTTAGATAAATGATGTGTTGAATACAATTAAAGATTGTTTAAAAATTATTTAATATCTCAAAAAAATTGGTATATTTACATGAAAACCTATAACTAGTTTTCAAGACTTTCAATTAAAGATATTAGAAAACGAAAAAAAAAACTTTCTAAATTGCTTTAATCTTTTTAAAAACCCTCTCGAACGAAGTATTAACATGAGAGTAGTTTTTATCCATAATAAATTACTTTTTCATCAAATGATTCTATTGTATAAAAAAAGTCATAACATAACTCAATCTCATAGAGAAAAAATATAAAATATTACTTTGATTGCATTGCCGAAAAAGTTTAATACGTTCCTCAACATCCCCTAATAAGATTGCAATTTGAAATTGTCTACTAACATCTTTTCGTACTTCAGCTAAACAGAAAAAAATAAATTAAAATAAAAACAATAAGAAATTTTTCAAACCAATTTTCATCATTTTTCAAGAAATAGATAATTGAAACTATTTAAAAGAAACCACAAATAATTTATATCAATATTTCTATATTTAAGTGCTAAGCCAAATCTTGTTTTTGCATCATTTGTTTTCAAGATAAAGATTTTTGAAAAGAAATTTGTAAATTTTACTTCATCGTATTTTCTATTACTTTAACTTTTGTTATATGAATAAGCAAATCAAGTGTACGAATAATTTCATGATCACCATTAATAAGTGTAGAAATAATATCATTTGATGTTGTATAATTAAAAACATCTGAATCATCCTAATAATGATAAGTAATTCATATGATTTGACCATATTGCATATTTAGCTTTGCCTATTCTTACACTGACTACTTAACGTTTTTGCTGAGCATCATATAAATTAATATGATCATTTTCACGAATTAATAAAAGATCTATACCACCATAAAAAAATTAATGAAAAAAATTAAAAATAAAGAAACAAACGAATTTAAACTTACAATATGGTTTTTATCAAAGACAAGAATTCGATTTTCGAGCAACCTATACGGTATTTAAATCAGATGAACGACTTTCAAGTGCTGAAGAAGAAAAATATACATTTAAACTATCAAACAATTTAATATGAGATATCTTTCTCTTTTTTGAAGTGAAGCATAAATTATTTTTTTTCCATATTTGAAGATATCTAATAAGAATAAACCTGATTTTCAATTTAACAGTGATGAAAGAAATCGGAATCGTCATCCATTAAAATCTTTCTTTTTTGGTTTCAAATAGATCATACCATCCGAAGTTTATGTTGAACTTGTTGATACATCAGCATCTTTTGGAATAGTATAAAGATCATAAATAGAATTATCCGATTGAGATGGTACACGTGGATCACTAACATGTTTTTTTAAATTAAATAAAAAAAAAAATTTTTTTATAAATACTTAGAACATTCACTTTTGTAATTTCATAAGAGAAACATATTTTGATGTTGTGATTTTCAATCGTCGTAAATATTTTTCTTTAAACATAATAAACAAGATTTCTAATAACAGCATAAACTGGTCGTTCACGTTCCAATTTAAATATGATCATTCCATCATTATGACCTACCAAACAAATATTTTACTTTACTTGTAGAGTGTTGGTGTGGGTGTTTTTGTGAGATATCAGAGCATTAGCATACATCCGCACAGCCAGACACTCACACCCATACATCCATGATGTCTACAACAGATATGACGCGTATTATGCAAATGGAACAATTACTAGAAAGATGAGTTTGTTATTTATCAACAAAACTCCAGTGAAATGTAGTACTACGAGCATCTTCCTTCAGTTAACTTCAGTTTTTTGACAAAAACTCTCAAATGCAATCTTAATATTATTTTTTATTTTAATCATCGCTTCATGGTGAAATTTTACTCTTGTTCTCAAATCTCTCCTATATGATATTAGCATTTTAAATATAGAAAATAGCAATATGAACATAACGTAGACACTCAAATGGTTTTACCATCAAATCAATGATCATATGACGTTTCGAGCAGTTTTGTGGTGAGATTTATCATTCAAATAAAAAACAATCTTATAACTGATTAATCGAGTTTCTTAATCATTGGTATTGCTTTAATTTTGATAAATATTTCTACCGTTATTTGTTCAATACGAGAAAATTTCAGATCTTAGCTATCAATTCTTTTTAATACTTAATTTAGTGAATAGTTTTTGGCGTATATGTTTGAGAAATTTCAAACTAGCTATTTATTCAAAAAGCGTTTATGAGCATATAAAAGAAGAAGCATGAAAAAAAAAAGAATTTTGTGAAGTAAATTTGTTATTTTTTACGAGTTAATGATACAGAGAAAAGAAAACAGAATCAATCGATGTTTTATGCTGATTATTGTTATGTCAACTGAAATTTTAGTATTCGTAGTTTCGATCGTTTTGCTATTCTTCTTTCTCTTGTTGTTCTTCTTATTCGTCTTCGTCTTGACCATCGTCTTCTTCATCGTTTTCTTGTTCTTCGATTTCTTCTTCTCCGTCCTCTGCATCTTCTTCATCTTCAAAAAGTTCAGAGTCGTCTACGTCGTCATCTAGTATCTCATCATCTGCCTCTATGAAATCATCTTGATCTGCAGGATCATTTACATCTTCGGAGTCACCTTGACCTGCGGCATTATCTCCAGCTGCAGCATCATCTTCAGCTGCGGCATCATCTCCACCTGAGCCACTACCTCCACCTTCGACATCATTTCCACCTGAGGCACCACCTCTAACTGAGGCACCAGCTCTACCTGAGCGATAAACTCGAGATTGAACATTACCAAATAGATCATTTTTATTCCAATGTTCAGAACCTAAATTAGTTGTATCCACTTCACCAATAACCCATGCCGAAAGACAATATTTAGTATTAATCATATATTGATACGGAATATAACAATATCCAGCTTTACCCTAGCAGCAATTGAGACATAAATATTTTTTTTCAAAGAGGTTTTTATTTACCCAATTTGGTCCCCAGGAGTTTCGAACGATAAAGCGTTGTTGGCTATTATCATAACCTACAGCTAACATTGTATGTCTAAAGTAGTCAGTTTTAGTTTAAAATTTTTGTATTGAAATAAAATCAAACCCTATCTGTTTTTGTATTGCTAAATCCTGTGGTGTTGGCATTCCTACAATACCATCTGTTCTCGCTCGCGAGACTGCAGCATATGGACGTAAGAGAAATATAAATGGATATCCTCTTGCAAGGCATGCTCTCATATCATTTAACTTCGGTTCCAGTCGAAATGCATTAAGTAACTTATGGTTTTCTGCTAATCTGTATGCTTTGTGAGAAGGCTTTGTATTTTGTTGGTTAATAATGAATGGCCAAATATTTTCCGAACATGTACCAAGGTCCGCTAATCCTACGATAGAATGTTCTATGGTACTACCGTTATGCTCTGATTGTAAGAACATCTGGCCATTTTCATGAACTCTACGTCGAGCATTGTAAAAAATAAATAATCGACTCATATCATAATTTTTTTGAGTTTTCATTTTCATTAAATATTCATATGCTCCTACAATCAAACATTTATAACATGAAAAACGAATTCATATTTACCTGCACAAGCATTTGCTGTACTAAATTAATAGAAATTTGATAAATATCATGATTCAAAGTCAAATATTTTTTACATACCAACTAGCTGTTCCGCCTTGCTGCTCAACAGGTGTCATCCTTGAAGTGAGATCGACCTTAGATGGCAGTTTTGAAGGGTCATATTTAACGATATTAGAAAAATTGCGTTGCAAGATTCCATTGCTAAGCTGTGAATTTGGTGCTACAGTACCATCGACCCAAACCCTGTTGTTACTATCTCTGTAGCGGATAGAGTGTCGCTTAGGCATTACTGCGTTTTGAGTGATAATAGGGAACGAAAAAGATCGAAGAGATACTATGGAATCTGTAAAATTGCGATATGATTACAAATGCACTTTTTCTCTACCTTATATAAGAAAGTCGTTCGTTATTCACATCGATTTACTCTCCTGTTAGATAGGGGCATACGCTATATCGGCAAAATATTTTTATTTTTTCAGTAAGCAAATATCTGAGCTTCATTGTCTTTAGGCTCACTTTCTCTAAGCAAAAACAAATTTTCGATTTTATTACACATAATAAACGCACAATGTAGCGCATGAAAAAATGCATTTGTTTAATCAATGTCGTCTCAATTATTGATGAATAGATAATCATCGTTGAAAAGCATGTTGTTGTTTATTTTGTATGAATGCATTCATGCGTATGACTAAAGTAATTGATCCTTGAGTATGTATATAAAAAATTCGATCGTATTAAACCATGAAATAGCTCTCTGCTTTCGAATTAGACTTTTTTATTTTCACAATAGTCAATTCGTGTATCGCAAATCATTGATCATTCGAATTGAACTATTAGAATTATTTGAGGCTACAGAGCGTTGATTCAAAAATTGATTGTATCTAACTCGTATAGCTCTTTTTATTGTACTTTTACATTCATCATTTTCGTTCTTCTCTCCAGTTGCTATACGATGAGTAAGACATAAATAAGAGCCCTTTCTTTTCTCTATCGAAATCGATACAAAAATATCAAGAAATGTTGTTTTTCTTTTTTTTTTCATATGACCTCGTTAAGTTGTATATAGACTATGAGGATGTGAACAAGAAACCCTCTCGATACTGGATTATGAAAATTACAATGTTTGAAAGATTGAAGAAATATTGACAGAAAAAATATCGAATATCTATGCAAAAAAAAATTTTGCCAGTGTGGGTGTAGAAATTAATCAATTGAAAACAAATCAATCTATATCTTTAAATAATATAAGTCAATTTGCTGCTCTCAGTTTTTGCTTTTCAGCAATCGATGAAGTCGAAATAAAATTTTAAAACTTTTGATAATGTGTTGGAATTAAATTTAATAAGAAATAATGCAGATTTGATTTAACGCCGACGCATTTCATGTTTATTTATTAAAATATTAAAACATTCTTCAGGGCACTGCATTACAATATAAAGCACAACAAGCGAAGTATAATAAAAGAAATTAAACAAATGAAGATATAATATTTTAAGAAGACATTCCAATAAATGAAAACTAATTTGTTAAAGCTCTTTTACATTGAGGCATTATTAGAGGAATCATGTCTACTCGATTATCAACAAAAGAAAAAAGAAAAATAGAAAATTAGATAAAAAGTTATTTGTTAAGTCTCGTGCACAATCTTGATAACTAGCGACATATACAGTCTTGGCCAAAAGTCCCTCACTCCTCTGAACTTTATCAATATTTCAAGCTTTTTGCTTGAGATTTTGGCTGTATGTGAGTACTGACAAACGCTGATCATAGACATCAATTCAATGTAATAGAACAGAGTTATACACCAAATAACGGGTGGGCCATAATAAATGTCCCAATTTTGCATGTCATTTTTCCACAACTTAATACGTTGTATTAGAAAAATAAAATATACCACAGGATGTAGCTTGACAAGCTCTACAATTTACAGACGGCCACTTTTTTTATAAGTGCACTTTTTGTTTTCAAAATCAGCAAAGCAATCAAATTTTGATCACCCGAAAACAATATTTTTTTTCTTCGAGATAGATTGGTTTTTTCTTATTTCATCTTTTTATCACCTGATATCTCTCTTATTAAAGAAAAAGCAAAATATATCACTAGATGCAGCCAGAAAAGCTCTACATTTTACACGCAACAGCTTATTGTAATTGTTTTGTATTACAGCAAAATTCTCTGCGATCAATTTTCGCACAATCGAAATTTAATCACTCCAAATTTTGATCACTTGTAAAGTAAAAAGTGCAACTATTAAAAAAGAAAGCGGTCTTGTGTAAATTGTAGAGCTTTTCACGCTGCATGTTATGGTATATTTTGTTTTTTTTAATACAACGTATTAAGTTGTGGAAAAATGACATGCAAAAGTGGGACATTTATTATGATCCACCCGTTACTATCGTTATCTTCCATTGGTTATATCTCAGTCACACAACCACTTTGAAAGTTGAGGATCCTACCATTTAAAAGCTTGAATCTTCAGCTTTCTCTAATAAAATTTTCATCAGAAAAATCTTTTGGATTGCTGAGATATCAGCCTGTTAATGGATATCGACCGAATCACAATTATGATGATTTTCACTTCGTCATACTAAAATATCACCTTTACATTGACCGATTCACTTGAAAATTTGTTTTCAACATACTCATAGATTCAGAAATGTTTCATAAAAGTTGTAGTATTGTAGCTTGTACTAAACTCGAAATACGACGATATAATATTCTCGTCACCGCATGTCTCGCCAAACATTTATGTCTCAATAAATCCAGTTGTTCTGTCTGCCTAGCATTGTACACATTGGGAGCTATATGTATCACTAGAAAAATCTCCCAAAAATCATTTAGGTATAGAATAATATCTTTTTTTTTTCATATCAAATCTTACACTTTCTGTTTGTAAATATTGTCCTTCGTATATATCTAATTTCACTAATATTCAAATAATATGGAATCATCCGGTTAATAGAAGAAATTTTCTTATATATACATATATATATATGAATAAATAATGCGTTATGTCACTTATTTTCAACTGGTAATTATAGCAAAGCAACATATGATACCAGATATTGGAATTGAAAATGAATAGTCCTATGAAACAGCATCACATTTTTATTTTAAAAAAAATTAGATCATGATAATGTGATATATAATACAATTTTTTTTTTTAATTTTTCTATTAAAGTATTGGTCTTTGATGTTTATATATATCAAATACTGGTTTCTTTTTGCTATCGTTAAATGAAAATGTAAATTCTTATAGTCGATAGCTTGAGTGAATTTTGCATGAAATATTGAACGAAAATTTTCAAAACTTTGTTCAATTACAAAACAGATAGATAAGGCTGAGACATTTTATAGATTAAAAAAGTGATCTTCGTGACAATTATTAGGTAGAACAAAATTTATTTTAACTATTTGTTCACAAATAAACTTCTAGAAAGTTTTCTTGATATACTTGTCAATATTCATATAAAGATCATCAATGTTTCTATTTTCATGCATAATTTGTTTTCTTCAAGCATATATTCGTAAGTAACTACAAATCTAATATCAGACTAAGTTATCTGACTAAATTGTATATCATACATACTTAAAAGTATACTTTGGAAATCATTGTAGTATAAGATCTGCTCAGCAACAAGTGCTTCACAAGTAGACGAGATAACTCCATGAATCCCTTACTGCTTCGTACTTGTCTCACTGTCGGATACAAACCGATCCAGTAGTTTGGTGATTCGGTGGCCATCAGGTGCTCGTAAACAGAGGTCATAATGATCAATTTTAGTCTTACTATCGTATTTTTTTCTACGGAATGAATAAAACTCAAAAATCAAGAGTCATCAAATAGGTAAGACTTTCATTAGTTTACGAATAATTTCAATAGATAACATAAAGCTCTGTGATAATAAACAGCGACAGCTTCAAAACCAACATTCATATGATTACTTGTGTTAATTAATAATCAATTCATGAAATAATTTTGACATTCAAATTTTAGTTTTAAAAAATAGCATTTAAAATGTGTCTGAGCTGAGTGCTTTGAAAGGGACTCTGAAGTCAACTGATAAAATGTGAATAAATTCATTCTTTACATTTCGTTATTTAGATCTTTAATATGCTGACTTCAACTTGCAGATTAGTAATTCTTTTCAAATATACATATATTTTTTTTTCTTTCGTCTCACAGTAATTTGAAAATAATACAGTAGAAGTTTAAAATCGTTTTTTTCTCAATTCTAAATATCTCTCTATTTCGAATGATGTCATCTAGATGAGATAATGTAACTGGTTAAGTTGCCGATCTCAGAACTACATTAATTGTATGTCATAATTGATTTCAAATAATTCTTTTTCATAGCAAAGGAATTTTAATTTTAACATGCTTCTTTTGTATTTAGAAAAAGGAAAGCAGCTTTCTTACATCAAGATTAACCGATCATTTTTATTCCCTCTTGAATAAAACATTGATTAGGTGACGAAAGCCATCAAATCAAATTTCTATAACTTGGATGCAATTGAATAACATTAATAATGTGGTATTTCTTAAAAGTGAATATTTATTAGAAAGGTACTATAACCGTGAATTTCCACAATATTTCTTTTGTTGCATCGAATAATGTAGCTATTCGATGAGTGTAAGTCTAATGAGTTGATTGCATCGTTCTTTTTTGCATTGTCTTAGATCATCTGTCATGCACATAGACGGATCATTATTGACTCATACTGTTGGTTAACTTATTTATAATTGTCGACTATTCAATATTGTTTCTTATACACTAATACTATATATAAGGAGGTAATAATTATATGCTTTCATTTCTAAATATCAAAATGAAAAAAATTACTCGATTAGAAGACTTATCTAATGAATTGTTCTTCGAAATATTTGGTTATTTACATGCAACTGATAGTTTTACGGCATTTTCAATACTCAATCAACGTATTACATTGATACTGTCTTCAATTTCACTTCGTATTGTTGTTTCCTCACATCAAGCAGTTGCCATTTCTCTTGAGGATTTCATTCGTGATTTTACATCTGTTATTTCTTTCTTTTTCATTCGATATACATTTGAAAATCTTGAACTATGTGCACTTTATTCATCACATTGGTCAATACAAATACGAACTGCATTGCAACAATTAAAAAAATTCTCATTAAACTAAAATCGCTTCGATTTATCGTAGGAAATTGTAGGTAAATTTGTGAAGAAGAGAAACAATATACAAGTCAAACTATTGTAACATATCAATCATCTTCACTTCGCTCGCTCGATTTTATATTTTACTTCAATCATTCGCATTTAAAAACTGGTGTTACTCTTAACTGGACATTAACATCCATGACTTTAACATTTTATGGTTTACCTCATCAGTTATCAATTTATTGTGTTCTATATGTATTTCATATTTATCGTGCATTAAGACGTTTACGTGTATTTATATTAATTCCTGCAAATCCAAATATTCAGCATGCATAGTAAGTTTTTTTATGAAATGATATGATTTCGTATTAGACTATCTGCAAATTGAGAGAAGAAAATAAATAGAGTTTTTATTATGATTAATTGTGGTATAGTAGTTTTAATCAAAAGTTATACTGATGTCTTCTCTATGGAACTCTACGCAAGTATTTAATTTTGACAAGCTATAAAAAGGATTTCATATTTAGCAGAACTTGTTCATTCTACAATGGTAAGACTAGGATTTAAAGAAAAGTGTGTGAAACAAAAAAATATTTAACCGTAATGAAATCTATGTCATAACTGATAAAGAAAAAGAAATAATTCGTAGTAAACTAATGAAATAGAAAAAACCTTCCTGCATATATATTCTTGCTAATATTTTTGTTTCTTTGTAAGATATAAAATGAAAGATGATTTTTAATGATGAAATAGGATTCTATTGGTTTTAGACAATATATTATTTTCATCACTGAAAACAGGTTAAACTAGACCTCTAACTGGCCTTAGGCCGGCTAGAAGAGTCGGCTGACTGCAGAGCCTGAAAAATATCAAAACCTTATCCTATACGACATCTACTATTTCTAAATCCAAGACTTGTGTAGAGGAAACCATAATGAATCTGAATCGTCGATTTCCATATAAGGAAGCTCTCAGCTGTTCATTTTCGCTCATTGTCTCATCTGTATAAACAATGAAGAGATTTTGTTAAACGTTTGAGACTCTTTCATGGATGAATTTCAGTTATGCAAGACGATAATTAATGTATAGCGTGCGTGTGAACGAGAAGAACAGCCACCCACACACCCACACCCCCACACCCGTGTAGGTACAGTGATAGAGTCCCAACAGTATAGGAAGAGTGATATACTTATGAAGATATCGGTAAAATGATATATTCAAAAGAGTATAGGCAGAATGATACATAGCTTTGAGGATATAGGTACAATGATATTCTCACAAGAGTATAGACAGGATGATATATCTGTAAGGATATACGTGACGTCATATACTCACAAGGCTAAAGGTAGAGTGCTATATTCATGAGGAAACAGGTAGCATGATATACTTCAAAGAGGATAGAGGTAGAATGATATACGCACAAGAGCATAGGTAGAGTAGTGTACCGAAAAAGGGTATTGGTGAAGTACTATATCCATGCGGGTATTGATAGATTGACCTATCTATGAGGATTGGAATTGAATGTTATATACATAACTGTTTTCCTTCACGAATAGAGGTGTAAATTGTGAACTTTTTCGGGCTCTCTGTAGATTTCAAGTGGAACCAGATTGTTGAAGTCTAGTTGTTAGAAGGTTATATTTAGCTGGAAATACCGGTAAGTGTGTTTACAGATGAAAATTTTCTTTAGAGTGAGAAGTTAATTTGAATTACAATTCACTTATCAATATTCGACAGTATCAGTGATGTGAATAATGTAGGACTATGAAGAAATCTTTTGCATTGCTATTAGACGGCCGTGTATGATCATACAAGATCGTACGGTTCGCTCATATGTGGATCTTAGTGTAAGGTCTGATGTAAAATTGCAGACAGGACGATTTTCCATACGATTTTTCGTATGATCATATAGGATCAGGTACGATATTACTGTAATATCTGATACGAACTTACAAGAATCTGTCATTGATTTTAGGGTCTGATTTCTCGACCTGGGTGATCTTGGAAGAATCGTACATCCAGACTTGATATAAATTTTGCATACACGAAAATTTCTCCACAATTGACGTCTGATATCACAAGATCATAAACGATTAGACTTCTGATTGCAAGGTCTTACGTCTGACTTTTGGAGCTGGGATTCCCCATAAACCGAGGTCACCCAATCCTATTGGTTCAGAGCAGGGCTCGAAAAACATCTGACTGGCTAAATTTCTGCCACCTGAAATCCTATTGGTTGAGTGCTTGACTCATGAAACTTCTGATTGGTTAAATCATTGCCTCCTGAAATCCTATTGGTTGATTGTGGGCCTAAGAAAACATCTGATTGACTAAATTTCTGCCTCATGAAATCCTATTGGTGTAGTGCTGGAACCAGAAAACATCTGATTGGCTCAATTTCTATCTTCTGAAACTCTATTGGTTGAGTGCGGACCCAGGAAACATCTGATTGGGCTGTTCAGTAGAAATTTAGTTCGAAAAGACGAATCTCTGCGACGAATAGGGAACTGCAAAATGGTGCCGGTCTCGGTCCTGCGGGACCAATTTCAAGACCAAAATTATTTTTTACGGGGCCGGGACTGAAACCATTTTTTAGCTGGTCCCGAAAAATTATTTTGAATAAAAAAAGAACTGAATTGTCTTTTCAAGTCGATTGATGATCAATAATGTCTTTTATTATTTCATAAAAAAATACAAAAACCGATGTTTTCAAATATCTATTAACATTAACATGTTTATAATATTCACATCTAGACAGATACTAGACTATTTAGACGATTTATAAGAGCAGAATTAGAAATATATACATAACACGGCGCACACTTATGTGTGACACCGTAATAGGTTTCTTAAAAAATTTTTTTATATTCGCTATTAAAAAAACGGGACGGGGGCCGGGACTAAAAAAAAATATCAGCCGGGACTCGGCCCGGGACAGGGACTAAAAAACAATATTAGCCGGGACCAGGACCAAAAAAACGTGGTCCTGCAGTTCCCTAGTGACGAAGTCTATTAGACTCAAAGAGGTTTTCAGCTTGCGAAAGAACATTTTTCCTTCCTGTGCGAACGAACAAACGAATTCACGAACGAACGTAACAACTCATTTTTCGTAAGACCCTCCCCTTTCAGTAGAGGGAATATATTTTTTATTTCAATTAAAGATGATAGAACAAATGATTAAATATATTAAAAATATTCTCAATGATATTTATACAAGAAAACAAAAAATCGATTTCACGTTACTGTAAACTTTATGTTAATATTAACAGTCAAATAAATGAAAGAAGGAAAAACAAAAATGTTTTTCTTGTAATAAAAAGCTACTTGGAAGAAATCAATATTTTCATTGTTTTGATTAAATCCTAAAATGACAAAAAAAAAACAACAATAAATTATAAAAGCATGAATTTTTAATAAAATAAATCAATAGATATTAAAAAAAAAAGAGATATGAGAATTATAAGTGCGATGCAAAATTACATGCTAATGAATTCGATATAGAAAAGAAAAGAAAAAAAAAATTAAATATATTTTTATCGAACATATTTATATATTTGAGCGTTAAGAGCAATATCTTACATGAAAGTGTCTGAAAAAATTTAGCTGGCATTTCTGCCGATGAATTATCCCTAATGAAGTTAGTCATTAATATCAAGACAACAAATACAATACAATGTTTGAACTTACTGGCTAAAATATTGTTCAGCTTTCGGATCAAAGACAACTAAAGATACTGATGAACCAGGACCGATTTTATCTGAAAAGAAATAAAAATAAATAACATCAAAAGATTAAAAATAAAATAATAAACTTTGAAAATAAACAGATCTAATCTATTAGTTAATATTCACGAATACATTTGTTATTAACTCATATTACTATATCAAAATATAAGGTGATAGTAGTTGTATCATTTTATTTTCTGTAGGATTACTCTTACTTTTTGTTTTTGTTCTTTATAAAACAATAAAATGACTCGACTCGACAAAAGGTTTTAATTCGTCCAATCTTGATTAGATAAGTCAAACTTATAAAAATTTTAATTATCTTTTACTAACCCGAAACAAATGTTTTGGGTATATCAGGAATCATATCAAGAGAAATCGGAGGCATGCCAGCATGTAAAGCACGTGTTACAGGTCCAAATGTAACATCCCATGTATCTAAATTACCAATTTTTTGAGGTACATAAAGTGGAAAACGACAATGTCCAAGAGTAATCAAATTCAAAACTAAATAAAAAAAAAACACAAATTCATATATTTTTAAATGATAATTATAACTTATACTATTCAGTCGTTGTCGTACAATAACAAGTGCTTGTATACGTGTAGGCATATGTGATGTACGAGCTTCTTTAATTGATAAAACTAATTTATCATTTGGTATATCAATAATAATTCTTTGCCAATTATTGATTGCTGGTTCTTTTCCTCCTATAGAATATTTTTTATTTTTTTTTTTATTAGAAAAATAATTAAATTAAATTTACATACGAAGTACAGGTAATGATCCAGTTGATACATCACCTATTTTTTCTCCAGCACTATATACTTGAATTTCAATTATAATGGATTTTATATCAAATTCTTGTCGAGATCCTCCATTCTAAATAGATAAATATACAAAAAAAAAATATATTTCTAAATAATAAACTACATACAATAGTAATATTAGCAGGTATAGCTAATGTTAATGATATATCTTTAATACCAATTGTTTCTATATATGCTTTTCTTTTATTTGGTATTTGTCGATTATCATCTTGTTTTGAAATAACTGGTTTATATGGATAAAAACGTTGATTCATTGCTGGTATAAATTTAGGATCTTCATTTTTTAAAGCAAGATGAACAAATGCTGCTTGAACATCTGTTGTATGTAAAAGACAAGGTTCATCAAGAAAAACTTTTCGCATTTGATCATAATCTGTTGCATACATAAAACGATCACGAAGTAAATAAAGTATTGCTTTTGTTGCATGTTCTATATATTGTGTATTCCATTTAATCATAAAAAATT